GAGAGAGAGAGAGAGAGAGAGAGAGAGAGAGAGAGAGAGAGAGAGAGAGAGAGAGGAGCAATCGTTGCGCGTTTCTTTTCAATTACTCCCCATTATGTATTTTTTCACAGAAAATTGAATAACACCGTTTTTTCTTTTGCACAACGAGTAAAAATTCAGTTAACAATATCATAATACTGTAATTGGGATACTATCGCTCAAAAGTTTATCTCGAAATTTTAAAAACAAATCAATTTAATCAATTTTACTTATTAATATTGTAAAAGTTTATGTTGCTTGAAACATAAGTATACAAAAGTTTATGTTGCTTGAAACATAAGTTATTGTAATAGTGTATATTAAAAAAAAATAAATTTTAAAAATAAAAATTGATAAAAATGGAATTTTCGTTTAAAAACTACCAATTGCTACAAATTTCTAAGCCATAATGTGTAAATAATGTAATTACTTCTCAATTAAGGACGTTTTCCGAAAAAATCCATTTTCTTTAAATTTTTCTGAAATTTACAGAATAAACTTGTTTTAGTGTCCTGAACATATGTACTTTAAAACTCAACTCGGAACGGAATTAAAAATCGAAATATTCCACTTCAAAGTTGAAGCGTTTAAAAAATTTTTTTATATATATATATATGTATATACCTTGATCAAAAAGTTCCCAGAATTCATTCAGAAAATTCACACAAAATACAAGTTTTATTCATCAAAAGTGATATTGTCGCCTTCAAAGTACTCCCCATCAACTGCAACGCACTTATGCCAGCGCTTGATCCAGCTCTCGAAACATTTCTGGAATTCTATTGTCGGTATAGCCATCAGAGCCGTCTTCGATTTTTCCATTACCTCCTTTCGGCTGTTAAAACGCGTTCCCGGTAATGATTTTTGCCACACATAAACGGCTGTTTTCTTTAGAGTACCACTGCCGAAACAGTTTCCCAACATTTCCAAGATTTTTACTCCATTGAATCCATTTTTAACGCAAAATTTAATACAAATACTCGTTGTTGCAAATTCAACTCCATTTTTAAAACTGTAAAAAATCGAAAATACGTGCAGAGGTATGTACTCAAGACGGCGTAACTTTTACAAATGTCAAACTATGGTGATAAAATTTGGTGGGAATGTCAATGATAAATGTGGCAACCTAATCAAAAAAACAGAACTCAAATCAGCTGAATCAAAGCATCACCTGGTGGTAATTCCGGGAATTTTTTGATCAAGGCGGATAATATGTATACATGGTGTGTGTGTGTGTGTGTGTGTGTGCGTGCGTAGGATTCCTATCTAAAACTTAATCGAAAAATAATCTTTTTATTCACTGTAAAAAAGTTTTTTAACAATTTTTTGAAACAATGAGATATAAAACTTGATTCATATAATAATATGAAATTTGTCTGAATGTGGCGTCTGGATTTGTCTGAATATTCGTTTTTAAGAAATTCATTAAGCAAAATAAGTAACATAATAAGTCGCTATTTTTCGGCGGCAGTAACAAAGATGGGAGTCATTTTACATTGTACAAAAAAACTTGTATAAACACATTAACACTTATGGAATATCTTATACTATATAAAAGTGAAATAAATTTTCATAAAAATTTTCATAATGGTGAGCACTACTGTGCTTATTAGATTGAGCATAAGTCGGAGAACGTCCTTAAAGCAAATTTCGTATATAAATAGATAAAAAAAATTATGAAATGTTTCAATCCCTACATACATATTTTCTCCAACTTCTTTTATTTAGGAGAATTAATATTAAAAGATTATTCTACAGTAAAATCTATCGGAATAAATATATGTACAATTAGCTGTACCTCTCTAGAGAAATACATTTAGGTGAACTTGTAGTTGCATTGTGTGCAATTGGGCTGCACACAAGGGATGCTCGGCAGCACGGCCGCGGTGGGCGGTAGATGATGCAGTATGCCCGCCGATCTGGCGACCGACAACCGATCCGCCGCCACTTGAGCGCACATGTGCGCATCCCTCAGCTGCTGTTGCACGCCGGAAGTGAAGTAATTGTTGTAGCGAAAATTAAGAGCGACCGTTTCCTGATCGACCGCCGTTTTCGCGATTGGCAGATCGGTCCCCTTGGCGAACTGCTCGGTCGGCACGATGTTCAGTAGACAATAACCCGCATCCCCGTAGACGTTTCTGGACAGGCTGGTATAGATCGGTGCCAGCATCGTGCCGGGAATCTGTTGTTGTTGTTCCCCCACGGCACTATCAACAATCGTCTGCGGAGGCCGAAAGGCCGAGGATACTGGTTGACTGATACTGGTTGACATCGCTGGCTCGGTGATGCCCAAGTTGTCGCTTGCGAAGTACTCAATTGCCTTGAGTAGATCCTGTCCGCAACGTTGCAGTACCAGTTGCAGCACCGACAGCTTGGTATTCGGGAACAGGCGGGCTAAAGTCTCCACGGAGGTCTGAGATACCAGAGTGGTTTCTCTGACTCCCTCCAGCTTGCCGGCGTCGAAGAGGAAACTTCTGGATCTCGAAAAGGTTTCCAGGTCCTAAGAACGAAAAGGAAGTTACGTAGAAGAATCTTTTAAAGGGAGTTTTCTAACGAAGTAACTTGTGGAAAACCAGTTTGTTTTCTAAGAGTTTTAAGATTACTAAAAAATATTTGATTTTGTCTTTAAAATTTTAAACGTTTAGAATTTAAAACGGAATCCAATATGATGGATTGAATAATACAAAAATAATCTATTATTGCGAAACTCGGTTTTATGAATTCTTGGGATTACTGAATTTGAATGTAATCTAAAAATATCAAAATTCAAAAAGGAAAGAAGAACTCGTGTCATAGAGTCATCTTAGATTCACAAGCTTGTCAAAGTTTAGAAATTAATGCACTTATAGCCACGTTATGATCTGTTTCTAACGATCAATTATTTGTGTATAATAAATCAGCTTCAAATAAAGCGGAACTGAAAATTTGGTATTACTTTTAGCAATATTAAAGTCTCTAAAACTGAGTTTTATGATAATGAGATAATCCAAGCAAAACAATAAACTATGATATGTTAAATGACATTCAAATGAATCGTGATTGATCAAATGAAAAGTGATTTTTAACAATTATTTTGGAGTTATTTTAACGCCATTTTTATGTTATTATGATTTTTTTTTGCTTAAATTATTTTTTTCTAAATTATTTTTGTCCACGCAGTATTGAAGTCATTTTAAGTTTATATCTTCGATGTCAGATTTGAATATAAATCATCATTATTATTAATTAAATTAATCCAATAGTCAAATTATATGAAAACAAAATAAAAAAGGAAATATAAGTGATCGCCCGTTCTCAAAGAATTAATTAATAATGAATCCAAATTGACTTGTTACATTTTTCATTTTTTCTGATGATTCTGTTTTGTGTACGTACGGAACAGTTTTGAACACGAGCGGGTAAAGCGTCATCGGTCGATACACGTGGAAGCTCATTGGTATCCTCAGAAATTCCGTCGAGTTTCTTTGTAACGGGAGTCGTATTTTCATTTTGATCCACAATAGATTTCGGCTCAGTCACGGACATTCCGAAGATTTTACCTGGCGGAAGTCGATCGAGCTTCTGTCCGGTGGCCACCTTTGCCATTTTAAGAGCGATTGCGTCCTCGGCTGCCTGTTGTCTCTTCAGAGCAACCTTCCCGAAAACAACTGTTTTAATTTCATTTCCAAAGAAAAAAATTTAATTTTTTCTAATATACTTATATTTAAAATTCAATAAAGTTTAACAAAGACACAACTTACGTTTTTTGCACATCTAGTAAAAGCAAAGAAAGATACAAATCGTAAAAGAGAAATTGATAATAGATACTAGAGAATATATATATATATATATATATATTCTCTAGTATCTATTATTAAATATATGTATATAGGGGAGAGTGGCCTAAATCGTATTCCAAATAGGACCTTTTTAATTTAAATGAATACGATTAAATTTAAATGAATACGATTATAGCGTGCTATTTATAATGTAAAGGCTTTACAAGATACCGGACAGCAGATTGACAGTTCTCTGTCATAACATTATAGATGCAAATATGTATTTTCAGCCAATGTACGAAAATTTTTTTTATAAGAAAATCCTTATAAATCTATTTAAAAAGTAAATCTATTTAAAATCTTATTTAGAAGATGTTAAGAATTTGGAAGGTAATTGATTTAAGATAGAGAAGAGGTAATTGATTTAAGAATTAAAGAATGTAGAATTCAAAAATATCAAGCGTTTTGGGATCATGTTTGTGGTTTATTGTAAAATTTGTTCCAAAATTCGGAAGGAATCAATTTTTTAATTAATTTTAAATCAATTACCTTTCAAATTTTTAACACCTTTTAAATAAAATCCATATCCAAATCGGACTTTTTTTTAGGTGTCCAAATCGAACAATACAGTAGATAACTTATAGGTGTCTGTGTGTATTGATGACCAGATCGGCTGACCAAATTTGGTCCAAGGAATTAAATCAGTAAAATATCAGACTCAGATTAATAAAGTTTTTGATTTCAATTCTAATAAAATATAAAATATGTCAGTAATTTTTTTTCTGAATAAAATTTTTATCTTAGATTGTTAAAATGTTAAATTGCTTCTTTTTACTCAATACTAACAAAATCACATTAAAATATTTTAAAATTCTATTTAAAAATCAATAAAAATAGGAATGTCCGATTTGAAATTTATTTATTGGTTCTAAATCGGACCGAAAAAAGTGTTTCTATATTTTCCATTATAGTTAAATACAGGTGAGAAATATGTCATAATCAAAATGGTCTAAAACAAAAATGAAGGAAATCAAATGATCTTTCCAACGGTATCAGTTTTATGATCCGACTTTATTTACGCCTTATAGAGAACAAAAACTGCAAATAGATTCGATTTATTCCACTTTCCCATATATATACGCAATTTTTTTAAAAATACATGAATATAAGAGAAAATATTCTAATTAAAAATATTTCCATATGCTAAAAATAGTTCATTAAATATTAAATATTAATATATGAATAATGTATACCTATATCTATAATAATAAATAAGTCTCTTAAAATGCTTAAATCTAACAGAAAATATTTCGATATATTTCTTTCTAGACGTTAGAAATAGATAATTTAAAATCATAAAATTACAAAGAGGAGAAGGAGTAGAAATATGGTTCGTATCGATTCGTTGAGTTCCATGCTATAATTAATATGACGAAACATTCAACGTATGTAAAGATTTTTATACGTAGTGCATAACAATCGAATCGTGATGCATCATGACTGCGTTTGACTTATAAATGGACCTGTCGCTTATGTATAGGCCGCATTTACCACGCTGTTATTCCAAGCTGGACCACCCGCAATAATCTTTCACGTCGCTGATGCTGGAGAGAATCTACTAGGCCAGCTTTATCCCATTTTCTCGTCGATCTTCGTTCAATCACCAAAGTTCGAAGGGAATAACTATCCGATTACTCGGGACGAGTCAATATATTGCCATGTGTTTCTCTCTCCTCTGCTTGTTACAAAAGCTTTCGCTACAAAGTCTTATTTAAAGAAATACGTCAATAAGTCATATGACATAAAATTCAATCAGTGTACAATTAATATTGCGATTTATATTAATGATGACGTGTCCTGTTTATTAAAGAATAATAATTTATTCCATGCTCTTTGTTTATAAGATTATATTATTATAATAAGTGTCAATTTCTTGCGGCACAAACATAGAATTCAGTAAAACCTTCGTATATCAACATTTCATTATACATAGATACGTATTCTATAAAAAATGTAAAATTATAAATAATATGTGTAAAAATCATACAATTTATAGTGAAAATAAGTATAAAATTGTGCTTTTTTACAAAAATTAATATTTTTATCTCTAATTGTGTAATATATCTTTATATTAGACAAAAAATACAATAACAATTTATAATTTTTATAGTTTTTATATATAGTATTTATACTATTTTATATTTTTTGTATGTAAATTTTTGCAATATTATATATATAAAATTCATAATAGTAACATCACACGTAATATATTTGCATTTTTTTTTTTCGTACATATCGATTGCTTATGAAAAAATTGCACATAATTTGGCGAATTATTATGTAAATCTATGAACTTAATTTTAAATTAATTGTAAATTTGTTTTTGCAAATTGTTTAATTACTATAAAGAAGACTAATTTTATTTGTAAGTTTATAACTTCACTTGCATGCAATATAATTTACAGTGTGTGAACATTTTTAATAGTGAACTTCAAAATGAATTATTGTTATTGTAATATTACACGAAATTTTTTAATAGTATATGGAAAGAACAATTTTGTCGAAGCAAAGGAAATTGGAATTCGTTTTCACAATTTCGGCATTAAAGGTTCTCAGTAGCGCATGTTGGTTTACACTTGTAAAACATTGGATACGTTTAAGAATCGTATATAAAACATATATAAAATAATAAACAAGTGCTACCTGGACTTTTTAAACAATTAATTGTTATGTTTAAAATGTACTGATATGATAGAAAGAATCTTTCTCTTCTTGCTCCGATAGATTATATTGATTATATAGATAGGTAAATTGACATATTAGATATATATTACGATGTAATTGTCTTTATAATAAATTCTATTTTTCATATTAATGAAAATACAATAAATAATACATAAACCGCAAATATATATTTTTTAGTAAAAATTGTATCTTTTAAAATTATTTTGTAATAATCAAATAGTCAAATGTTACATATTACAGAAAAACAAATTTTTAGTTCTAATTTATTTTAATGTAGAAATACACACTTTCGCTAGGCTTTTATGAGTTATTTTCTAGAGAATATTAAAGAGTTTACGAGTTATTGTGATCCATTGCTAATGCCAATGTTTCGCGAATCTTATCGTTCACTTTTCTGGACGAGGAGTGTAACTAATATCTGGAGACAGTAGTGTCTTGGCGCTAAGACAAGCGAAGTTTAGGTGAACGGCAAGATTCACGAAACGTTCATGTTGGTCGGGTCATGATACGACGATAATTTGCAAACTGTTTGACTAACAACGGGTCATGATACGACGATAATTTGCAAACTGTTTGACACTTTTAATATAGAAATATTAAAATATAAATATAGAAATATTAAATATAAAGCATTTCATCAGAATTAAGTTGTATCTGAAAGTTCAACGCGTGGTACAGCTAAACTTTCCTTAAATACAAAACCTGCAATTACTTCATTTCTACATATGTCTGATTTTAATCATTTCATTATAACAATTTTATTTATTGTTATTCAAAATAACAGACATATTTATATCTAGCTAAATTTTTTAATACTTGAGCAAAACCATCCTTTCCGCACACACACACACACACACACACACACGCGCGCGCGCGCGCGCGCGCGCGCGCGCACACACACACACACACACACACACACACACACACACATACACACACATACACACACA